GTATCTTCCTAACATCTTGACTGAATTGTATTTTAACAACTACAGGCATCGGTGGAGGAGGATTCATGCTCGTCCGCGCACCAAACGGCACGTATGAGTTCATTGACTTCCGCGAAACAGCCCCAGCCGCTGCATTTGAAGACATGTACAAGAACAACGAAGACGCCAGTATCAACGGCGGTCTCGCATCCGGTGTCCCTGGTGAACTCCGTGGTCTTCAACATCTTCACGAGAACTACGGAGTCCTGCCATGGTCCACTGTCCTCACCCCAGCTGTCAAGGTTGCCAGGAATGGCTGGAGAGTCAACGAAGATCTAGTCAAATACATGGTCTCCGCTACTTCCTCATCTAACTTCCTAGTCGATGACCTGGAGTTTGCTCTCGATTTCGCGCCCAAAGGACGTCTCCTCCAGCTCAACGAGACCATCACGCGGAAGCGCTATGCCGACACGCTCGAAACCATCGCCCAGGACGGTCCCGACGCATTCTACAACGGACCCATAGCAGAAGCCACAATCCGTGCTCTGCAAGCAGCCAACGGAACCATGACGCTGGCCGACCTCTCCAACTACACCGTCGCCATCCGCAAGCCCTCCACGATAACCTACCGGGACTACAAGCTCACAGCCTGCAGCGCGCCCTCAGGCGGCGAAGTCGCCCTCGCGACACTGAAAATCATGGAAGGCTACTCCCACGTCGGCGACCCTTCAAACATCAACCTAACCACGCACCGCCTAGACGAAAGCATGCGATTTGCCTACGGCATGCGCGCCGAACTAGGCGACCCCCTCTTCCTCTCAGGCATAGACACATACCAAGAGCAAATGCTATCCGAAGCCACAGCCAAAGAAATCCGATCCAAGATCTCCGACACCAAAACGTTCGACGTGTCGTACTACGACCCCGCTGGTCTGGAATCCCTCGAGACACCCGGAACGAGCCACATTGTTACCGCAGACAAGAGCGGCATGGCCGTTACACTGACGACGACGGTGAACCTGCTTTTTGGAAGCAAGCTCGTGGTTCCTGAAACTGGTGTCATCATGAACAACGAAATGAACGATTTCAGTATCCCGAACACAACCAACGCGTTCGGATACATCCCCTCGCCAGCCAACTTCATCCGTCCCGGAAAACGCCCTCTATCCTCCATCTCGCCCGTCATCGTCGAGCACCTCAACTCCTCGTCCATCGCTAGTGCGTTCTACGTCGCTATTGGCGCGGCGGGAGGAAGTCGCATCATCACGGCCACGATCCAGAATCTGCTTCATATCCTCGATGGGGAGATGACGACGGCGGAGGCGCTCGCTGAACCGCGGATTCACGATCAGTTGGTGCCGGCGCAGGTCAGCTTTGAGTATGGGTTTGATAATGGGACGACGGCTTTCTTGAAGGGGTTGGGCAGTAATGTTACGTGGGTTGCGCCGGGGTCGAGTACCGCGCAGGGTTTGAGGCGCTTGACGAATGGCACTTTTGAGGCGGCGGGTGAGCCCAGGCAGAAGAATAGTGGTGGGTTTGTCGTGTAGACGGGCTCTGTGAGTGCGGGTGGTGTTATGGCTGTACGGCACCTATGCGTCATGAATAACCTCAAGTACTGATGAAACTCCTCCACTTGGACGTTCACTGTGCATGATGTGGTGATAGTCTTCACTTTATCTTTTGTAATATTTTGTACAAATACATCAGCTCGATACGAGCGGCTACCGACCAGACGTTACCCAAGCTAACACAAGGTCTCTTACGAGTACGTCCTCTCATAACATCGATATCGCATGGAACGAAGAAACAACGCCAGGAATTTTACAGTGTAGACAACAGAATTAGAGGAAAGTGGGCAGGATGGTTTACCTGAGAATGAGACAGACAGCGCGGGTCTACCCATGGCTTGGAGCCTACCCATCAGAAGGGTGGCTGGTTCGGATAACGCAATCGCATCAAGGCCGTTTGCCTCGACGCAACGTACGGAAAGCTGACCATACATTACTTGGGGCGCAGGATTCGAATATGGAAAGCTCGGGTGAATGGGGATGGTCACACCTCGTCTGGGCAGTACCGTCAGTCAAGCAACGGAGAAAGGGCTTCGAAGAGGCGCATACCAAGTTACTATCGCACTCCTAGAAGCGGCTTCGGTGACCAGGCTTTTGAGGCACAGGAGGAGCAGTAGCGGCGTCTTCGATCTGCTTTGCACTGTATCGAACACGCAATGTCAGCAAGCATAATGAGAGGACGAGAATCGTGGTGTATTACGTTTTCTAGTGATCGTGCAGGTGCAGGAAATGGTAAATACTAAAAAGTTCAAGAAGGGGTATGATAGACACTAGAGAGTCATGGTTCGACCAGCAGCGCGCATCGCAGTTTCGCTGTGCTGGGGAGACCTAAAGCACAACTACTTGCGCTGACGTTTGTTTGCTGCATTGTGAGGCTGTCCTTTACGTTTCTTCTGGGATGGGAGTTGGGAGGGGTCGCTCTTAGCAGATGATACATACCCATTGACATCCTTATCCAGCTGCATGTACTCCTCGGCTGCGTCCTTGCCACCACGATCCATCAAATAAGCCATGTAGTAGTGGGAGAGTTCCTTGGAGACGTCTGCGGAGAAGCGTCCCTTTGTGCGCATCAGCTCGTGCACTGCCTTTATGCGGGTATGGCCCTCTTCCTGATCGGGTGAGGGTTGTGCGATCTCGAATTCAAGATATTTGACCCAGAACTCGCGCGAGTCCAGGAAGCGCTCGTGCTTGTCCTTGAACACTTGACGTGCCTCATCGACGCTGCCCTTGCATTGCCAGAGTATGCGTGCCTGCTCAGCAGCTAGTATGCCACCGATGTGGTTATTTGAGCGACCGATGTGCTCTTCTAGGAGGCGGACGGCAGCATCGTTGCCTTCGTGGCGTCGCTCTACTCCGGCTAGAGCAATGAGAGTCTCGGTGTTTTCGGGGGCTTCGTCGAGAATGGCCAAGTAGATATCGCGTGCGACAGAAGTACGGCCGAGCTTCTCCTCGAATCGCGCCCAGTTCAGGCGTACTTCAGGAGCCGAGATTGGTACGAATATGCAGCTAGCCCTCATGTAGATTATCCTTGTGTTCTCTGCATAGTCTTTGCCCTGTGAAAACATCCAGCGGGCGTAACGCAGCCAGAACTCGTCGTAGAGTGCGCAAGCAACGAGGCAGCGCTCGTACAGGAAAGAAGTGCGCTCAAAGTTACCCTGCTTCTCCTCGTACTCTAGATACTTGCGCCAGTTCTCAAGCTCGGCATCTTCGAGCTCTGTGACGTGGAAGTAAGCCCGCTTGATGGTTTGCTCAAAAGTCCAGCGGTTGGTCACCTCCTGCTGTGTCTTGCCATATGCGGTGTAGTAATGCTCGTGGATCTTGTTGCGCAGTTGCCGCTCGATCTCAAGCGCCGGCTTCTCTGGTTGTCCTTGGTTCTCCAGCTGGATCGCCTTGTTCATCTCCTCGAGGGTATCGGGGTCGACTAGCTCATCGACTGGTCGGCTGTTAAGCAGGACGGAGAACTTCTCGAAGTATCGGGCGAATTGGTAGATGGGCAGGTGTAGAACACGGCTGTAAATTTTGGTGACATTGGTTGGCTCGCCGATGCGCTCTTCGAACTCGATGTATTTGTCCCAGAACGGGTGGCTCTGGAAGTCAAGACCAACGAAATGAGCACCGCGCTCGAACAGACTATTAGGTCAGCATGTTGAAAGTAAGTATGGGGAGGGATAGGAGGGGGTGATCTTGCAAAGTAACCTCTCGTGCCATCAGAGGACGGCAATGCCATCGACTTCAGAACTCTAGCAAACGATCTCGCTCTTTCGTGGGGCATATTGTAACGGGGCAGTAAGAGGGTGCATCAAACGGCATGCAACGAAACTGCGTCAGGTGTGCAGGCGCAACGCCAGGCTGCGCCAGACTTGCCGCTGGCTACGGCGAGATTGAGCCTGCGAATCGGGAGGAGGGAAGGGGAGGAAAGGCAAGACTTACTCTCGGATGATGTCGTTGTCGTGCGATGTGTCCATCTTGAAGGTGCAGTAGTTGGCCCACAGGTCGACCGAGGGTGTGATGCACGAGACGCCGCGCTCGTAGACCATCTCGGCCGTCTCGGTGCCGCCAATGGAGAACTCGAGGTCGGCATACTTCTTCCAGTATCCGAAGAAGAGCGGGAACTTGGTCAGGAAACAGTCGTACACGTTGCGCACCAGTTCGATGGCGGATGGGCTGGAGTTGCGGGTGACGCCGCCCTCGAGGTCAGAAGCGCGAGTGACGAGCGCTTCCCATCTCTCAAAGTCGTCTTCGTTCTCTACCTACAGCATGAGTTAGCACGTGGTCGCGGTCAGGTGGGGTATTACTCACGACTGCGCTGAGAAGCTTGTTGATCTCACCCGCAGCTTCCTCGCCCGTGTAGTGTATCTGGGCAATGCTGCCGCGTCCGGTGGTGAGCATTTTGTCGCGCGTCAATCGGTGCCGGTGGGTTGTGTCTCGTGATCGGGGGTGAGAGGAGTGCGACGGAGGGTGACGGGGAGCTGGACGTGTTGGGGGCTTTGCGACAGTACCGTGGGAGCGTCGAAGTTGCGCCTGAGATCGCGTCGGCAACTTTCGTCAGCGACGCCCTCTAGCGCCTTGGTACGTGCAGCGATCTTCACCTAGTCTGCAGCCACCATGTACAGTTACGCTGCTGATTTACTCAGTCACCGGCAATACATCTGAGTATTGGATCTTATACACTTTGAAATTTGTCGCTTTCACTCGTTGTTGAGGTGCACACTTAATGTTGAGACATTCACGATGTACATCCACCATGCTGCATTCACTATATCTTGGCAGTGATGATGATGATGATGATGATGATGGGAATATCACTCTCGATAATTCCAACTAGAATGAATTCTCGCAGCGGCAGAAAGCCACTAAGGTATCACTTTCATAAAGGGCTACATCGACCCTGTGACTAACACACCGCACCCATGCTACACATTGAAGTACCCGTAGATCCATCTACGACAGTACTCAGACGGCACTCTCTTCTTTCAAGAACGGAGCTGTCTCGTTCACCGCAAACGAAAACGGGCTCTTTCCCACCTCGGGGCTTCGTGGACTTATCGGTAGTGCAAACAGCCCGTCGTCCTTGTCATCCTCATCTGCAGGTCCAGGGGGATCCCGTGACTGGAACATGGGCGCAGGGCCGGATAGAGCATTCAGTGAACCCATCATGCCAGCGCCTTGCTGCTCTGTAATGAACTGCGGCGGAGCCTGGGGGACGACCTTGCGAGGTGGCGCTGCAGGCTCAGACTGCGGTTGCTGTGGAGGTTTCGCCGCAAGTGCCGACGGGTTGGCTCCCTTGAAGACGGAAAAGGAGCTAATGGCGATGTCTGAGGACTCAGGTGAGAGAGGGTTGGAGAAGCCCGGCATGCTGCTGCTGCTCGGTGTGAGGTCTCGCTCGCTCGTGCCCAGTCGCAGGCCCGCCAGCTTGTCCATCAGCCTGCCTCCGCCTGGAGATCGTGGGCTAGCTGGACCCTTCATCGGGGCTAACGTCGGCTCCCCCAACGAGATGCTCAGGCCGGCTGGTTTGGCATTGACGCCAAACGTTGATTCGATCCACTCCTTCTCCTGCACCACCATGAGCAGGCCAATACCCTCGACGTTGTTGCGCGACTCGGCCTCAATCTCTTTCTGCAGGACCTGTAACCGCTTCTTGGCCCAGATGGTGTGCAGCACGCCCTTCTTGCCGGCTGCACGCGCGGAGGCTCCGAGTTCAGGCGGAAACAGGGCGGGCAGAGGGTTGGTGTGCCAGACGACAGGCGATATACTAGCGTCCTGGGGCCGTAGCGTGAGTGTGACGCTGGTGGGCACCGCAACGCCCGGAGGCAGCAGGAAATACATGCGGTTCACGTCGTTGGCAGGCTGGTCGTCGGCCGGCAGCACGCGCGTGCTGCCGTCCCACGAGATGTGCCAGTCGCCGCGCACCCCGCGCGTCGTGTCGTCGTCCTCCCACTCTACCATGAGGATCTTGGTGCCCGTCGTGGCATTGGCGTGGCCCGCCTCGTATTCGTAGCGGGCAAGCGCGTTGGTGCTCGAGATGCTCGGCGACTCGACCTCATCCTTCGCTGGCTGCCGCGTGCTGGTGTCGAGTGAGGTGAAGGGAACCGGCGCTGGAGACGCCATGGCAAAGGTGGAGTTCGGATGTCGAGGGCGCGATGCAGGCGGCGCGGTGCAGTACGTCTATACAACTGGGTGGGGGCGGAATACGAGTCTAGGTGTTAATAACGGCCACGGCAAAATGGTAGTCTCTACGGGCCCGCACTCGACGGCGTGCAACGCGATGCAGTCGACAGAGCCTAGATGCTGCCCCCGCAACCTGCTTGCAACTTGGATGGCAAACTCGAAGCGGCCGTTGTGCTGGTCGTCTGTTGCTGTACGCGTCGACTTGCAGCGTCGCAGTCCGCCCCATGTTCTCGCTAAAATTAGAGGCCTCTCTTCAGCAGCAACCCTCTGCAGCCAATCACCGTCACATATGCACCAAAGAGGCGTTGTAATCTTGAGCGATACGCTCGTTTCAGCTTCAATTCTCTCCTCCATCCATGGGCGCTCACTCGAGCCCCATCCAACTCTACTATACATGTTGGCGCCTGGGTGCTGCGCTAGCTTCCCATGCACTCCATGTGCCCCTTTCCAAACACGCCCCAGATTCGGCCGTGAAATCGTCACCCGTAAAGTCCCTCCAACGCCATCCAGTCGCTGCTGCTGCGCCCTAGAAATGCTGCATTGCTCCCGTGGAGCCAATGGTATCCAAATTACAAAAAGTGGGTATCGTAGTGAAGAAAATATATGCAAAGAAATAAGCAAAGCGCTTTTGTGGTGGTCGAAAGAAGTATGGCAAGCGACAGACGCAGAGAGAATGTAGTTCGCGAAGAGAAACACCAGACCAGGATGCATACCAGCAGAAGAGCTAGGCTTTTTAGATGAGTAAAAAGTCCCAGTTCTTCTGGCGCATCATGTCCCGCCAGTGGACACTCTGGGTGTTGCCCTTCGCGAGGTTGTCGTCGTTGACCTGCCATACCTCTTCCAAGAGGTTCTTGACTCGTCCGTACGAGCCAAAGTTAGCAGCCTCGCCCAAGAGGGCGGAGCGCTCAGCAAACATGCTGCGGAATCCTGACTGTTGCACCGAGACGGAGCCAGCGACCAAAAGGGGCCATACAAGGGAGCGGTCAAATCCGTCGGGTCCGGCAGGAATGTACTCCATAGCCTTGCAAAGGGCGCTGACCAGGTTGACGAATGTGGCCGATGTGCGGTCGAAGTCTGGCACTAGGCTGCACAAGTAGATCCGGGCGGCTAGACGGTACACTGCCGTCATGTTGCGGCGAAGCTGCCTTGGGAGAATCTCGCCGGTAGATGTGTAGGCGCTGTTGAGCGATCCCTGGGGAGGCTCAGTCAAGCTGATTTGCTCACCGAGGAGCTTGATGTGCGCGCAAAGCTGGACAACATCCATGTTCTCGTTCTTCAGCGCCTCGAGGCAAGCGATCTCCGAAATCAGGTACATGATGCGATCTTCACAGCCCATGAGTTCGGCGAGGCCAGATGATGCGTCAGCGATGAGCTTCTCGCGGTAGGTGTCAGCGAAAGATGGTGTCCTGCCCAGCATGGTAGCGCCGAGAATGTCGATCCAGGAAGCCAGTGTCATGTTGAAGGGAGGCTGAGCGTGTGCTTGTCCGTTCATCGCGATCATCTGCGCGGGAAGCTCGAGCCTGTGAACAAGGTTCTGGACTGCTTCGAAGTGGCCATGCCACGGGATGTCCATCAGGCCATCGTTGAATCGGCCGACTGAGCACTGGAAGAAGATCATACCAAGCGCGGCCTCGAGAGTCTGGCCATGCTGGCTGTCGCTGTAGAGCGCCGCAGTGAGCTGCTGAACAGTTTCTCCGCGATGCCGTTGAATGTCTTGGTCGATCTCTTCTCCCACAAGTCCCTGGGTGGTCTTCATGTGTAGCGCAGAAATGCTCATGCAGCAGTGCAGGTAAGCCTTGTTAGACTCCAGAGCTGGAATGATCACATCGCGCTGCGCAGCGCCGGGCTGGTTTGTCTCAAGAACCGGGAATGCTGTGGGCATGATGTTGTCGAGGAAATGGCTGAGAAGATGACGATCACAGTCTTCGACCTGAATGGAGGGCTGGTGTGATGGGCTGAAAGCACCGTAGGTAGTGTAGTCAAAGATGGGAAATTCGAGGGGCTCCTCAATGTACGATTCGCGGCGCTCGAAGTAATCTTTCTGGATCCAGTCGTCCGTGGGATAGATGTGAGCGGGCGGAGTCTGGTAGTGACTGTAGGATGACAGTGTGGAATCGCGACGAGTGGGAATGTCGTTGATGAACATTTGGCTCTCGGTCTTGATGTCGATGTCGTAAGGTACGTAGTGACCTGGGTGGGTGAAAGTCGGGGCGAACATTGGCGGAGGCATTGACGAGTTGTAGAAGTCGGGTGTGACAGTGGGGTTGAAGTTGTAGTCCAGCGAGTTCTGGGAGTCGACAGATGGCGCGCGAGTGCAGCTGACACCGTCTGAGAAGGTGTCGGCAGTTTGCATGGAATGGCACAGGCTTGGTGGTGTGTTGGTGCCCATTGCGCCGCTCTGTGCTGTCTTCTCATTAAGCTTGGTGCGCTTGATGATGTTCTTGATGACTTCTTTCTGAGTCCGCCTTTGTTCATTGTTGCTCCACCACATTGGCCTCTTGTATTCGCACTTGAGACCAAGGTGTTTGCAGGCGCGGCAAGATGGTTTGCCCTCATCACACTTCTTCCGTCGCAGGCGACATGTGAAGCACCCTGCAGAGGTCCCGTTAGTCAACCGTCCATGCGCAGGATCCCTGCATGTCATCGAAAGGGTGGTCCTTACCTGATCGTGAACGACGGTGCATTTTTGCTGCAGCTTGTTGCTTTGCTGCATTAGCAGCATTTGTAGTCCCTACCATGGTGGAGGACTGTTTGGTAGCGGATGGGGGAGCGGACGAGGAGGACATGGACGCTTGATGTACCCAGAGCGGTGGTATATGAGGAAAGCCAGTAAACAATGCGGCAATAACGACTAACGCGCGATGGGACGATTCGTAAGGGACAGGATGGCAGGGCTCGACCGGGCTGCTCGTAATTAAAGATGGGTATTCAAAGCCTGACCAGCGGGCTTGATGTGAAGGAAGGAGCGGAACCAAATTATGCGGTCTACCTGTTGCGTGGAGAAGTATTAGTGAAGGACATGTACCTTATATCTACCACGAACGGCAGAATGTTCACAAATATTGCTGAATCTATAATTGGAGTCCCTGCTATCAGGCCGGGTGGTCATCCAACGGGAGGGAGATGCGAACGCCATGCAGCACACGCACACGGCACACTGATTGGACGACTAGTCCTGGCGTGCAGCCTGATGTCGACATTTGGGGTCATTCTGTGCTCCCAGCTATTTTGGGGCTCTCTACCCGCCGCGCTAGAGCCAACAGCAGCACTTAGCGCGTATATCTCCACGGCTATCGATCGGCTTACTGGTCCCCGCAACGACTTTAGCAAGTTAAATGACCCATTTAGTACTGGAAGCATATTCCCATGTCGCCTTGAGAGTTTTTGCTGACCGGGGCCGTATGCCTTGATCCCCTCTTGTGCCAACCTCCTTGCGGGGCACTATCGAGGTGCGTCCAAGAGCGGCCTAGGAAGTACATGAAGCGGCTGCGATAAGTGGCCGGCCCGGACGTTACTGGTGGCCTTGTGCAGTGTGCAGATCCCGTACTGCAGTATGCCAAGTATGTAGATGATGGCATAGCATCTGCAAGTCCCATGTACGTGGTGTATTGGTACCTGCCCGCGTGTCGACACCAACAGAGGTACAGCGACTCGTGGTCCCACGAGATGCGGCTGCTACTCGAATCTATTCGCCTGTGCTACGTGCAGCCAGAACGTTCGGGCTTTTGCGGGCAGAGTCACGCAGACTCGAGGCGGCCCAATTCGCGTGCACGCTGTCGTGATCATTTCCACAGCGGGACTTGACCAGCTAGTAGCTAGGCGAACGAAAACGTAGACCGCATTGTCGACCAAACACGGCAGGTCGGTTGATGGTGTTTTCCCGAGCTACGCGGTAGAGGACAACCTTGGAAGTAGAGTGGGTGAGCCTTCGAGTAACGCGGCGAGTTAGCATGGCACGACAGGCAGTGGCATCCAGTCAGCGTGCGCTCCCACGCGAAGCAAGTCGCTTGTGCATGTTGACGGGGTTGGAATTTGCAGGACAAGCTTTCCCTAGTGAAGCTGTGTATCCAATGACAGCATCCATCGTCCTAGCTTACACTGCGGGGCAAGCCACCGGCAAGGAAATCTCGGTGGGTGACAGGGAAGGGCCGCTGCTAAGTATAGGCCCTTAATTATGTTGCCGGCTCAAAGTAAATGCCCATAATTAGTCGACCTTCGTCATGCCTGCAAGACAGGTGAAGCGAGACCCGTTCGGGATGTGATACCACTTGCTAGACGTGCGATTGGTTACCGACAATTACAATCAATACTTGGTAGTCCACGAATGGCCCTCTAGCGACTAGGTACCTCTTCGGACGGTTGGGCATGCACGGGATTGCTCACCTGACAATGCGCATTCATGCTTTGGCCGTCATGTTCCCGCTGAAAGCCGCTATCGTTCCCCGGTATCTGGATATGATACTGCCTTCCATGCATCCTGTTGGATTCCTTGGGGTGATGAAGATGAGGCGGATTAGATTGAGATGGCCAATCTGGCCAACGGCACAATTGGACAATTTCATCGCTCGCTTTCGGGCACCACTTGTGGTAGTGGTGATGAAAATCTAACCGGGTCTTGAGCGCCATGCGCAGAGCTTTCGGAGCCGGATGCTCACGAGCAGTTTGTGACTCCTCGTAATGCACGGAAATGTGGGACGGTAGCCGTTCTGCTGGTATTTCACGAACTATGCAGCACGTAGCACAAGAGAAAGAAATTCTGTTCAGCTTGGCGCGGTTCATCGAGGTTGCTGGGGAGCATGCTTGATGCTTGCACAACTTGCGGTCTGGTAGTCTGGTCGTGGGAAGTCGTCTCCGCACGCTGATTCGCCTTTGGCATCCACGCTTCAACGAGGCCATGGTGATAGTGGAACACCAGACTCAAAAGATGCGGCTGGCCGCAG